AAAAAATATATATATATAAGTTCAAAATGAAATGAATTGTCTTTTATTGGGCGACGCAGTCGCGCTTAGCTAAGTCACTTTGAACGGGATTAAATCTCGCAGAGATGCTGGTTCGTGATTATGTTAACGTGAGTCTTCATAAATCAGTAGAACGCCCAAGGGTCTCACGCTCTTATATGTACTCGCCGGTATTCCGCGATTGGAGCATTCAATTTTTCTCCGTTGCGGCAGTTCGAGGATCCAAACAAAGCGTGGAGTTCCGCGGGTCGCCTGATTGGCCTAGCTGTTGCCGTGCGCCGGTTTGACGGTTGGAGTCGCGACAACAGCTAGGCTAGAAAAACAAGACACCGCCAACGATTTTTCCGGTTCTAACGGTTTGCTTTTACCTCTTTGTTTGGATTCTCGAACAAATACTGTTAAAGTACAATGTAACACTTATATTTAATAATACAACTACAAAAATTTCAGAGTACAAGTTAGTGAATTCTATCGGACGGCACGTAGAGGATGATCTTTATGTTGTTCGTATGCTAGTATGTTTTGATCTGATCTTTTTCGCAAAATTTTCTATCAACATTAACTTTTTCTTATAGTGGGGGCTTTTTCTAACGACGTTTCTGATTGGTTATTCGAGATTTTCTCTATTTTGGGGAAATGGCATACATTTGGCGGGGACTACCGTTAGACTCAGGTAGGCTCTGAAGCTTCGATGTTTAGGGCGGTTAAGATTGTAAATTTTTTAAACTTTCTTAAGTGTGTAAAACCGGCGACCTTTTTTATGGCATCTATAAGGGTAATTATGTATAATACTGAACTTTTTGGCTTTATAATCTTCGGAGGTTTCCTCGAAATATGTTTTTCAAATTGCCCTACCTGAATAGTTAAATTTTGTTACCTTGGGAGGTCACGGGTCACTTAAACGAATTTATACAATATTTGTTACGCAGTAACAATAGCATAATCTTCAGAAGCAAGCATTCAACTTTAGCTTTATCAATTTTTATTACATTGCCTTTTGTGAATAAATTTATATTTAAATTCACTAATACTAAAGGATCAGAAATTTTCCGAACAAAATTTTTTCAACTTCGAAACCTATTGATGTCAAATGGTTGAACAAACGGTATGGTATTTTTTGGAATTTTTAATATTTTCTGTTTCTTACACTGTTTCCTACCTTGTGATTGATCGTCATAACTTCTTTTTGCTATATATATTCCATGAATCGAGAAGCAAATAGTATTTTCTGGTTCCCACGGAACAAAAAAATATTGGCAGATTTTTAAGTAGAAGCTTATTCCATTTCCTCTTAATTTACAAAAATAGGCAAGATTTGAACACGTGAAATCATCAAATATTTAAACAGTTTTTTATACCTAGGTGCGGACAATTGATTATGAATTAATGGACACATTTTGATAATTATGTCCATCCCATGCCTGTAGGTTAATTCGTAAATCTAATGTAGGTACAAGATTTGATATTTCATGCGCGAAATTTTTCCATATTCTATAACCATATATGTACATCAGAAGGTTGTATTAATCCAGTAGCGATTTTTTAATGCTTAAATCTGTCAAAGTTTTATTCGGCGACATGATATTGCTTATCAAAATTTAAAAAAATTAAAAAATGATTAAAAAAGTGATATTTTCAGAGTAACCCAACCTAACAATATATATCTTACAATCGTGAAGCAATTCTTGATCAACAGATGTAATTTCTTTAATTGCATGTATTCTACATCGTTATGAAGATATTACACTACGCACAAGTACAATTTACGCGTTAAGATCCTCCGTGCGTCGAATACTGCCACCAATACGCGCCCATAACGCGGATCAAATGTGATATCTGACTTGAACGACATATTTTTATAGAGGCACCTTTGGACCTTCAAATTCTTTTTTTAAATAAGTTAGTGTAAAAAATGTAATATAATACAATTTCCAGAATATTACGTATAGAAATCAGTTGT